GCTTTGGTTTTTGGTTTTTGGCTGAGTTTATTTCTGGTTGGTTGAGTTTTTTGGTTTTTTTTTTTAAATGCTAATTTTGCTCAACTGGAAAGTGTTGTTTCCTTTAGATCCTTTCAGATTAGTAAAAAATTCCTTTGAAGAGCCAGAGATAGCATCAGCAAAGCCACACTTAAACCAGGCAAGGCTTTTTCCCTGGGAGGTCCTTGGTTGCTCCCTGGGTGACAACAGCAGCTGGCATCTGTCATTCCATGCCATGTCCCTGGGAATGGCCAGGTTGGTCTGTCAAGGGCTTTACAGAAGCCAGAGCACCTGGTTTGTGCCAAACTGCTGGTGTACAAACCCAGCAGCCTCGAAGCAAGGTGTGGGGCAAATAGCAAAGGAATTCACTGTTTCGATGGAAAAACCAGTGGGACACCAGTCTGTGTCCCATTATAGCATTTGGTGAGGAACCAATCTGTAATCAGAGGCCTTTGGGTTGAAGTTTTGGGTTTGGAGGAAATGTACCCAAATTGGCATTCTGAGGCAGTGACTTTCTTAACCAGAGGATTTTAACACCCCTGGGTAATGAGGCTTCTCAGAGGACAAAATAAGTGGATCAGAGAATAGGGGTGGCACTTCCCAAGCTGGCAGTGCTGCAGCTGGATGTGGGATGCAGTTCACTTGGGAGTAACACCCTGCCCTGTGAAAAAATGTCCTTTTAGTTGAATGGGTGAGTTTGAAAAGAGCATCTTGTTTCTGTTTTTCTCTTTTATGGAAAGCTTCACTCTTCCAGGTTAAAATGAGGGATTAAACACTTGCTTTGGACTGGGTGTGTGATTGCACATCCCCTGTGAGGGAGTGAGTTGCCATTCCAGCGTGGCACTGTGTTTTCCTCTGCTCTGGCCTTTGGAGAAGTGCCAGGTGTTCAGAGCCACCCCTGAGGAAATCCAGGTGTTTCTGCGAGGATCTAAAGGTCAACCACAGTGTTGGATGAGGAGGAGCAGAAGGCTGGACACGTCCTGCAACCCAGGGAAGCACATGTGATGAGCAAAAGCGGTGGATTTTATCCACTGACAAAGATTAGATGGGAACTGCAGGAGCTGCTTGTGTGGCTTGGCCAACACGAGTGTCCAGGCGTGGAGTGAAGACTCCCTTCACCCACAGCCAGAGATCCCATGTCCTGGTGGACCTCCAGGACGTCTGGGGGTCCCAGTGCTGTTCCTGCCACCCTTTTTTACAGGTTCCAGTCACGGGGAGGGTGTGTGTGATCCCTCAGAGCTGTCGCAACAGGGAGCAGCCCCGTGACTGGAGGTCAGAGGACAGACACGTGTCCAAATACAGCAACACAAAGTATTTCCCAAGAAAGGAGGAGCGGGGGAGTTTCCAGCTGATTTTTCTGGAAGCCCTTGGTTTGCTGCCAGGCTTCTGCAGGGGATTTAAAACACACCTTCGCTCTTGCACACGTGCTCAAGCGAGTGGTGCTGAAACGGGAGGAATTCTGTTCAGGGAACTCAGTTCAACTTGAAAGCAGGCTGAGCTTTTTATAGGAAAAGAGAGAGGAGTGTGGTTTCCTCCGGACTTGCTCTGTGAGTCACACATTACATGACACAGCATTCCTCTTGGGAATCTTAATTGCTGGAGCTGATGAGCACATCAGCACTCTGGAATCTCCTCTTGTGTCATCAAACACACCTAAACACTTAACTTCCAGAAGTGCCAGGTTATTTTGATAATACCTCACAGATTTCAAACTCAACTGTTAAACGGTTTTCAGTATCCATCAGAACCCCATTAAAGTCAATTTAATGGCTTTTTTGTTTTTTTTAAGTTCCAAAGCGACTGTCCATTAACAGCCTTGCATTTAAGAAGTTGTAATGCTGTTACAGAGGTGAAATAATAATAATTACTATATGTAATAGTAAATAATCATGTTATTTTTCAGTAGGAAAGATGATATTTTGAGGGTATCTACTGCGTGCTTTTTTTATTTTTCCCCTGGTGGGTATTTTTAAGTCTTGAATAAAAAGGGCTTCATTGCCCATGGCAGGGGATTGGAACAAGATGGTCTTTAATGTCCCTTCCAACCCAAACTGTTCTGCAATTCTGTGATTCTGTGACTTCTGGACCATAAAGCAAATGTGCTGAAAGGTCTCTGCCAGAGCTGTTCAAAACTTAAGTTTCCTCAATTTTTGTGCCTTCTTTACAAAGACATTTCAGCTCAAGAAAATTGAGCTTGCAGCTGGAAGGAATAATAATCTTGGTATAAATAATAAGCAATGAGATTTGTTTCCTTTAAGTGAGCAGGTAGTCACTTTTTGGTTGAGGCTAAATTGCTTCTCCCTGAAGAGAATTTGTCACAGGTTGGACTCGATGGTCCTGGAGGTCTTTTCCAACCCGAATGTTTGTGATTCTGTAATCATGAGTTGTTTTTTACTGCTTGCACTAGACTTTACTTGCCATCTTCAGTGCTGAATTCCACCTGCTAATGTACAGTTTCTTTACTGATGGGTAGGGAAAAAGTGGGCTCAGTATAATCTGACTTTTTGAGATGTTTAGGTAGATTTTAAGCTGTCCAGGCAAGGACAGCCTTTCCCCAGCAAGGCTTTTGGAGAGATGCTCTCTTGCCAGTGCTTGAATGCTAAGAAACATCAGTGCTGGAGCTTGGTAGTAGCTCTGTTTCTCTTCAATGCCAGTAATCAACCCCAAATCTGGTGTTGTGTCACATTGCTTATGTCGTGGTCGTGAAAGGAGCAAACAGATCAACACTTGGTGACCATCCCTCTTCTCCAGGGGTTTTTGTGGTGATTGTCTCTCTCCTGTTGAAGCACAGTGTGGGAAGGTGGAGATGAAACAGAGCAACAGCCACTGAAGTGAGAGCAGTACTCCCAGATATTCAGTCCTATAGAAAGAAGATGATGTCAGCAGCTCAGGCTGTCCTCTGTTTCAACCCTTAGGCTAAATATGTGCTGGCTGAATTGTGTAGGAGGAAAGAAAAACCCACCTCTTTGCACGCCCTGTGGAAGAGTTCATTGTGTTTCTGTTTGTTTAGGGCTTTACAGGGTGTTATGTTGTATCTGTCTGGACACATGCAGCATGTAAATGCGCCCTGGTTGAGAAGGTGTTCCCAAAACTTGCTTTTAATTTCCCGTAATACTCGTCAAACTGTCCTCTGTTCTCCCTTCTGGCCCCACCTGACTCGTGGGAAAACAGGGCCGGCTTTGTTACGTGCCTTGAGGTCACTGAACTCACACAGTCCCGGAGCAAGGGGGGGGAATATTGCTGAGATAAGATCTGCTGGAGTAACAAAAGAGCGTTTCTGTCAAGTATGAACTCAGTCATTGTCAGAAGTGAGTTATTAAGTTGGCCTCTGTGCTTACCAGGTGCCTTCTGCTGTCCCGTGATGTGTGTGATGCCCCAAAGTAGACACTGCATAGTGAGGAATCCACGGCCTGTAGTGTCTTTTCCAATTAATCCTTCGATTCCTCATATCTGCCCTCAGTGGGAGGGATTTACAGAATTGGCACTGATAGAATTACACCTCAGAAATCTTTAGGTAATGAGTAATCACCAGTTTTATTCCAGAATCCCTCCTGGAGAGCAGGGCGAGGTCAGGCAGATGCATCTGTTGAGTGTTGCCAGGCTCAATTACTGAAAGACTTCTGGAGAAAAGGAGCTTACTGATGGCTCATCCACACTTCCCATCTCTCCTCAGATTTTAAATAAAAGGGGCCGAGTTGGACTTGACCATGGGCCATTTTTAGGCTTCTGGACTTTATGGAGGAGCTGATGGTGAAGATGTTGCATTGGATAACTGTCTGTCCCCCTGTGTTAGGAACAAGGACGTGGATCTATTAAGAAACCCCCCAAAAACCTCCTTAAAAATCCTTGCTTTCTGTGTGAGAAGAGGAGTGTGGAAGGATTTCTGTGCGAGGCTTCTGGAAATACTTTTTCCACCCTGCGTTTCTTCGATGTGGCTCTGCAGATTCCTCGGTATTCCTGGCAACAGGCTCCCTCTCTTGGGATGGAGTTCAGAAAATCTGATGCTGCTGTTTGTTCGTGCTGGTGCCTGGTTTTATTATTTTTTTTTTTTCCACATGATTTCATCTGTGGAGTGGGATCAGGCTGCTCCCCACACCTCTGACTTCACTCCTGGACAGGATCTGTGTTGTGTACAGCGGCCAGCGGGTCCGTGCAGTCCTTGCTCCCATGTGAGCTGCTGGAAGACACCCTGCCAGCGCTGCTCATCCCATCAGTCTTTCCAACGTGGGACTCAGTCTACTCTGTGTTGTGGTTTTGTCCTAAATTACACAAAGTCCCTGCTGTCCCAAGGCAGGGGCCAGCAGATATCCTCTGCTCCCTCCCATATTCCCTGGGATGCTCGGCACCGTCCTCTCCCGCTGTATCTGTGTGCAGGACATGCTGGCTGCCTCAGCCCTCCGTGCTTCCAGCCCTTGCTGTGTTTTTTGGGATAGGAGCTGGATACTGGTGATGCTGCTGGTGACAGCAGTGGGATGTAGCCAAAAATTTGGTTGGAAGCTCAGGGAAATTCGTTGGTTTCCTTTTAGTGTGGTGAAATACAACCTTTTTTTTTTTTTTTTCCTCTGTTGTCATGGAGGATTTTTTGGTTTTAGGGTAGGACTTAACATCTGGTATTTATATATATATTAGGAAAACGAATCCTTCCTCCCTGCCCTGGCACTTTCAGCTTCACAGTGTCACCCTGAGCCTTTCAAAAGCAGCCCTGATTCGAGGCGTTCCTTGCGCGCGTTAGGGACTGACAGACCTGAATTTATAGGATAAATCTCCCCCCGTTTTAGGGTGTTAGTTGCTGGTAGAACCCAGTGCTGCTGGGAGGTGTTGCACCAGCTGGAAACTGCAGCCCTGTGGCCGTGCTGGCCCTCCCAACCTCCTCCTCCTCCTCCTGCTGCTGTCCCTGCTGACGCACAGGGGTGATGGCCAAGGGGGGAGTTGGCTCCGTCGCCTCCAGTGCACCGCTCACCTCTCCCGCTTTCCCTTTCCAGGCTCTTCCCGGGAGAGAAGCTCTGACGAAGCCCGGCCGCGGGGAAGTCGAAAGGCAACTTTTAATGTTTTGATGCGAAGGAAGTTGGGCGAGCTCCTCCTCGGGTGAGATCCCGGGCTCCGGGACGCGTCGGCTCCAAGAGGCTTCTCCGCGTCTCCCTCTGGTCCCGCCGGGAGCGCCGTGTCTGGCTGGCAGCTGGGAACAGGAGAAGTTGGCTGCTGTTTTCCGCCGCCTGATTTCCACCAGTGAGTAGCTCTCCGGTCTGGATGATCCCGTTTTAGTTAAAAGGCGTGTTCGGCTGCTGCTGGAGGGCCGGGGGCTGTGTTTTGGGAGCAGAAGGACTTGGATACAGTAAGATCTACAAAGTGGCTTTTGGGGACTCTTGGTTGGGTGTTTTTGGTTTTGTTTTGTTTTGTTTTGTTTTTTCTTAAAGTGACAGTTAAGCTTAAGAGACAAACCAGTCTCTTGTTTGCTGCTTGGGTTTAGTCTTAGTTTTTAGTTTAGCTTGGGGTTTTTTTTTAAAACTGGGACAGCAGTGAGTACCCCTGTGTTGTCCCCCTGAATTGTGTTCAGAGTCAGGCAGTGAGGGTTTATGAAACAGTAAGAGCAAGAAGGTGTTTTAGACTTTCTGTGAGGTTTTACAGCAGCTGTACTGAGGCAGTGCCGTGTGACTGTGCCTGCCTGCCCTGTGTGTCACCCGCTGCCCAAAAACCTGAATGCTTTGGTTCTAGAGGAGGGTGGCCCTGGGTGTGGAGAAGAGCCCAGTGAGTCACGGGGAAACCACAGAAATCCTCTTGGTGAGCTGAAGGTGCTGCAGCAAGAGGGAACAGCACTTTATCCCCAAGCTGTGCCTTGGATATGCAGCAGTCTTTGCATGGGCTGTGATCCTATTTGTGTGTTTCGGGCACAGCCGCCTTTCCTTCTCATCCTAAACCTCTTTGGAACACAATGCTTTAATCTGGAAGCTTTCTAATAGATTTATAGTGATAAGGAACTAAACAAACTGCCTGTAGTAGCTCACCTTTGTGTGTATTTTTGACACTTATATTTGTGTATATGCACACGCACAAGAGCTACTCCAGGCGTTGGTTTTCAGTCTGTCTGTGCGTATATGGGCACGTGTGTCTATAAAAAAATGGTTTTGTAAAGCAGGATGGGGTAAGCAGGCTTAGAGGAGGATGAATTTCTTCCTGCTCTGCCTCCTTCATTTGTGAGTTGATTTGGTTATGCAGACAAAGGCAGGAAAGCAAACCATAACAAAACCTCTCTTATCCAAACTAATCTGCTTACAGCACCGTCAGGTAAATCATTAACCCACGGACCGGGTGCTTGGAAAAGCTGCTAAAGAGGTTTCTTGCCCCTGAAACTCCTGTTTTCCAGGAGGTAAGAAGTGAAATTACTTGCAGGTCTTGGTTTCGCGTGTGGGTGTTTGCTGCTGCTCTGGTTTCTGTACTGGTTTAATAAAGTCGTGTTGTCCGGTGGATTAATGATGGGAGAGGACTTGCTCCCTGGGTTATTTTTCCTGAGAGAGCAGCTCCAGCTAAGGCAAAGGGGAAACACAGCATTTACTTACCTGTAAATACTGTAACTCATTAATGAAACTTCATTTTAAATGGATTTATGGCTGATGGAGTGTTTTTACTCCACAGCTTTGTTTCCTTGGATCCTGTGATTCAAATCTGACCTGGGAAGGTTTGCTGTGGGTCTCGCTGTGCTCAGTTCCACACCAGCCTTCCGTTTTGGCTGACTTTTGTTTCTGTAGGCACGTAAGAAATGGATTTCCCTGTGGTATTTGAGTACTTAGAGTCTGTAGAGTCCTGTCTGCGTTCACTTCGCTCTTTGATCGATCGTGTTTGCAGTGAGTCTATTCCATGCGAGTAACTTGAACTATAGAAAACACGTAGCACATGGAGAACAGCAGAAGTAACTTCATTTGTGATGTTTGCAGCCCTTGCCTGAACAAAAGAAAAAGGGCTCAAGAAGGGCTTAAGCTTGTTCTAGGTGCCCACGTCCAGGAGCATGACTCAAAACTTCCAGCTGACCTCCGAGCTCCCTGAATCAGCGGTGCGGTTGTGCCTTGCCCTCCCCAAGCTGTGTCTGTTTAGGTGCCAAGCTCTCAGCCTGGCTGTCTTATCCAAAGGTGTGCCTGCTGTCCTACAAGACTTTCAGGCGTCTCCTGATGGTCCTAATATAGAGACCTTTGAGAGCAGAGCTCAGAAAGCTGGACCTCACTTTAAAGAAAACCTCAGCCCCCAAAGCTGCTTGGTGCGGCTCCGCACGGCTCAGCGCCCTGCACAGCCTGTGATCCATGTGCCCTGTGCTTTCCAGCCGCCTGGGAAAGCTCCAAACTGCTCTTGCTGCTCAGGAAAGTGCCCTTTTTGCTTGGTTAACTTTACAGCCTGGCTGCACATTAGCTTTTTAAAGCTGAGCTTTTTAAAGCTGTTCTACCACGTGAGGGTCTGCCGTGTGTCTGGGTTACACCTCATACCAAGTCCTTGGGGGAGGAGATATCCAGACCTGGAGGAGAAGGTGAATCCAGACCTTTCCCCAAGAGGTGTGAGTTTGTGGAAGCAGGTCTCTGCCCTCAGGACACCCCAGCAAGTGCTCTCAAGTGCTGTTTCAGGTGGTAAATGCTGGCTTGCAGAAGGCAGGGTGGTCCCTCCTTCTCTGACCTGAGCAGCCAAGCCCACGCTCTGAATCTTTGTTTAAGCCTCTCTCCTTTGAGATTTTAGGGACAGGACATGCTGATTGGGATCTCAGCCAGTTTAGTTGAGCCAGGAGAGCGATGGACCTTTGGGCAACCAGGTTGCCACACCGTGTGTTCAGTAAGAGCTGCTGTGGCCACAGAGGACGGGGAGAAGGGAGACAGCCCCGTTCCCTCTCCGCTACCTTGGGAGTGTCTCTGCTCCCACTGGTGCACTTGCCTCTGGCCTGGGGATGACTTTATGCCAGGAAAACTGGCCCGATGGAGCTCTCTGTCTCCAGCTGTCTGCATGGCAGAGAAGGTGGGGGGGAGTGGCTCTGGTTGAAAATAGAAAAGCAGATTAGGAAATTCGAGGTATAGTTTCAACGCACGGCCGAGCTGCTCTGACAACTCACTGCTGCCATCGAAAGGGGAAGGACTCGCTCCTGCCTGCGTGCCTGCCTGCAGAAAACCAGGAAAACAGCAGCTTTTCCTCCCAGGCACAGGAGAGGAGGGTGGGGATATGAGGCAGGAAGGAGGGGATGCCTCTGGGAAACTCTGCTGGCACAGGTGACAGAGTCCAGGTGTGCTGGAGCTGAGTCCAGGTGAGCGGCGCGAAAGCTTCCCGTCGGAAAGGTCGGGCTTGAAATCCCAGCTGTGCTCAGCTGAGCTACTTCGGGTTAGCCCCCTCCAAGCTAAGGACAAAGCCTTAAGGAGATTTACTTTGCTGCTTGAATTTTTCATGTTCATATTTTATGGGGAGGGTTCTACTTGGGGGAAAAAACCCCACAGCAAGTGCTGGGGGCGTAATTTCGCTTCCTGAATGCGAATGTGCTGCTCGGTTGTAACGTTACACTCTGGTAAGAGACTTTATTTTGCAATAAGTGTGTGAAGTGTCAGGAGAAAGAGTCAACAGACAAGCCAAGGGTAAATATCTTGTGCTTTAGAAGTTGTGAGCTTTTTAAGTGTTGGGTTTAGGAAGTGGCCACTGTACAGTGTTTTGTCAGCAGCTCTTCCGAGTTTATCACTATTCCTTGTGCTTATCGCTGGTCCTTGTAACTTTGGATGTATTTTCTGTTGCCTTCCCTAAAATAAGGACAAAATCCAGTTGGGAAAACCATTCTTTTCTTTGCTGAAGTGTTTCTTTCCTGCTGCCCTTTTTTTTTTTTGTCTTTGGTTTCAGTTCGTTTTTATTTGCTTTCTCTTTGTTTTTAACTCTTTGTCAGCCTCGAGAGCAGTGTGAGTTGTCCTGCTGCTCCTGTTGTTGTAGCACTCCCAGCCACATACCAATAACCAGTGATCCATCCTGTTCAGTGTTTGGAAAGAAATATCCAGGGGGATTTCAGATATCCTGGATCTATCATCAGCATAACTAAAGAACATTGAGCTATGTAATATTTAGTTCAGAAAACCTGTAACAGCACTTCTCCTGGGCAGATAACCTGAAGACAAACAGCACTTATTATTCTTTTCAAGGGGCTGTGGATATAAGCTATAGATAAAAACCTATCCAGAGCTCAGTGGAATTTAGTATCAGGTCAAGTTTTACCTTTACCTGGAATGAGTCTGTCTTATAAAAGTGAGCTTAAGAATTGAAGTTACTCTTTGAGCCTCTGGACAGGAATCCTGAAGACAAGCAGGTGGTTTTATTCAGTTAAGTTTCCAAATACTTCAGCATGATTTCTCATGGATTACTGGGCTGCTTTTCATAACCAGGAATAAAAATTCATTGGTCCCAGTGATATATATATATATATATGTAAAAACACTGTTTCATTGGTCCCAGTGATAAATACTGTTTTCTTGTAAATTTGAGATCAACTTCAGCAGTCAAGCAGATTTTTCACAAAGAAGAATGGACGTGGACTGTTACAGTTTATTAACTTTTTGAAACCAAGAAGCTGAACCCAGTTGACTCCAATTTGTTTGTATTGGAGAAGCTGATGCTTTGGGATTGTTGATTTACCAAGCATCAGGGCTGAGGGGGATTTAGTAGGAAGGCAATCAGCTAGTGAGTTTTGGTGCAACTTTGATTTCGGTTTCTTAGACTTCCCAGCTCTTTGGGTTTCTTCCTTATTGTTTTTAAGTCCTTTGGTGTTTTGAAATTTTCCCTTTTAATCTCAGCCACCTGCTCTGCTTTGGTTTATCTGTTTTAAACTGGTCACACCCCACCTAAATCCTGGCATTGTTCAGCTCTCCTTAACGTGTTTGGATGTTGTACGTAGGTTTAAAGCAACAAATAAGAACAACCCCAGGCACCAGCACAGGCTGGACCTGCTGGAGAAGGACCTGGGGGTCCTGGTGGGCAACCAGCTGTCCCTGCCCAGCCGTGTGTCCTGGGGACAGGGAGGGCAGTGGGATCCTGGGGGGCAGCAGGGCAGGGAGGGGATCCTGCCCCTCTGGCCAGCCCTGGGCAGGCACATCTGCAGGGCTGGGCCCAGCTCGGGCTCCTCAGCACAGCAGGGCCAGGGAGCTCCTGGAGCGGGGCCAGCGCAGGCTGCGGAGATGCCCAAGGGATGGAGCAGCTCTGGGAGCAGCAAAGGCTGAGGGAGCTGGGGCTGT